ACCAAGTGCACCCCATGGCTCCTTCATGGCTGCCTTTGTATCTGCCTTTCGTGCTGTCTTCTCATCTTTCAACCGTTTTTGCTCTTCCTTTTCTTTTGCCTCCTGCCTCTGCCTTGCCTCTTCTGCTTCCTTTTCTGCATTCTTTTTTCTCTCCTCCTCCTCGTCTCCCTGATCACCACGTACAGTCTTTCGATGTCTCTTCTTGCGGCTTTTCGTTGGCCGTGCCTCCCCTTGCCCAGTACCGGTTTCAACAACAAGCCTGGTAGGTTCCTTTGGGGGAGGTTTCAGTGCCTCACCTGCACCACTTCCAGCTTCCATAGCTGGGGCAGCACCCGTGCCCAACGCGGCAGGACCCTGAGTCCTTTGGCGCTTTAACTTGGAACCAGGACTGCGACTTTGTAGGAGAGCACGACGTTTCGACTTGGTCCTTGCCAGCTTTGGTTTCGGACTCTTTTTGATCGGTTCACTCAGGGCAGCAGCATCACGAGCAGCAATTTCCAGATCTCCGGCTTGAGGTTGTGGTGCAGCGGGACCTCCATCACCTACACGAGTGCTGGGTTCTCCGGGTTCTCCATCACCCTTCGAAGACTTTGAAGGTCTGCCCCGGCCCCTTCCACGACCTTTACCACGGCCCCGACCCTTCCCTCTGCTCTTTGCCTTTTCAGCCTGGGCTTCGGCATCTTCCAAAGCCTCCTGCAACTCCTTGTCAGGATCTTCTACGCTAGCCTCCTTTGTCATTTGACGCAAAGCAGTTTGGGCCTCCCAGATGGCGCGGAGGGTCATGAGCAAATGCCTTTGGGGCTGTAGGCATACACGTTATAACCATGATCTTTCAGATTGGGTGACTCAATGCCATCATCGCTAACTTTTTGGCTGTATTACTATATATTACATGAATCCAGCTACTACATGCACTTAATTCTTTTAATAAGATCCTAGGTGATCCTGATATAAAATGCATGGATGCGTGTTGTACATACCCGGCTCAGTGGACCAGAACATGAACCACCAGGCCTTCAAGATTTCCGCTTCATGCACTTCTTTACCGATCTCGGGGTTCAGAAGGTCTTCAGCTTGTTTTTTCGCTTGGTCCTGTAAGCCTTGAGGGATCTGAAGCTGCTCAGTCATAGCCCGGGTGTCCTAGCGAATGACAAAGTCATCAATTAATGGGTTTGTTCCTCAAGGACGATTTTGTATAAGGATTAATTTCAATTTGGATGCACCACATGCATTTGGAACATAACATAATACAGATAGTATAGACATACAAGCTAGCAGTCCTTGAAAACTCCTTTTGTGGTTGTCTTTTCTTCGTCCGAATCCATGATGCGTTGGATTTCCTGAGCAGCCTGATCACAGTCCTCCAGTCCTACAGGTTTTGCTTCCTCGGTCTTTTCCTCGGTGGGTGCTTGCCCAGCGCCCGGTTCAGCAGGCGGGGCATCCTTTGCAGAGACTTCCCTTGAATCTTCAGGAGGACTGATTTGTTTTTTCGGAGACAGCATGACTTCCTCATCACTTTGAATTTGGAAACAACATTGAGCATGACGATGGACAGGCTCCACAATTTCATCATGCGTTGCCTCCTCCTCCTCAGCAGATTCTTCTGCACCATCACCAGACCCACTACTAGATTCCGATGACTCATCCATTGGTTTCATGGTAAGGTCATCACCACCTTGTTCTGGTTGCAAGGGGCACTTTGAGATCGGAGATACAAGATCGTCTGGATACTGGGAATCTTGGGGGGCTCCACAATCGTTGGCTCCAGGCATTTGTGTATCCGCGAGATCCATAGCCGAGCCTTGTAGCACCGCTTTTTTTGCTGCCTGACAAATCTAGTAGGTGCCGCAGAAGAGTTTTTATGTGAAAATGGGTTGGTTGCACAGCATGCACCACATGGGCATGTCAATGCCAACTTTTAATCATTCAGTCCAGGGTCCAAGCAATATAACATACATCGATGCATCCTTGCATGCATGTTCGATCCTAAAAAGAACTATATTAATCTTCACTCGATGAAATCGCAAGACCCCATCAAACATATATGAAACAACTCATAATCATGTCACGCGCACGCTTGCACTGCCTCTTCTTGTTTTATGCGAGATGCACCTCGACCCCTGCTGGGTGTCTTCTTCCCTTCAGGACTGAGAAGGTCATTCTCCTGGATAAAGCTGAGTGACAGGGTGAGTGGATCAACCAACGAGCTGGCTAGAGATGTTACATGACATAGATCTAGAACATCGATCCTAGGCCAACGACGGTTATCAACTAGATGACAGTCAAAGACTTAGCAGAATGAGGTTGGCCTGCGCTTGGCACATTCACTCAGGAAGTTTCATTGGTCTACTCTGCACGCAGTGATTGTGATGTTCAATGGAATACGCCTGGACAACATCAGCCTCCGTATATGAATGCAAGGCAGGTGTGCAGAGCAGTCCATCAACTTGCTGCGGATCACATCCTTGATTTGCTGCATGCGCTCGTGTCCATTCCTGGCCAGCATCTCATATGATATTAATATTTTTGGGGAACATTTGATCTCCATGTTGGCTTGGGCATAGTTGATGTGTGGAAGACCTAGGGACATGTTTGCAATTTGCTGGTAAACATGTTTTATTACGATTGGCCCACAAAGATGAAGCCCATTGTCACAATACAACATGCAAGTGCAGCACATGTTCATGCATTATCATATTAATGCATGAAAATCCACCCCACCTCGTTTTCAAATTGCGCTGGAACCGTGTCAAGCAATAGCTCATTGTAGCTCTCAGAATTGATCCCTCAACTTCTGCCCATCCCTGCAGAATCAGGGGAAGATTGCACATGTCAGAACTTTAACTCATGCATGCAGTTCTCAACCCCGAGTTGAAGTATGGCTTGCAAAGCAAACAGGAAATTCTTCCGAATCCTCTTGCAACTTGCCTCATGGAGGAAGTATTCCTTGAACGGGTTCAGCTTGTAGAGGGACGACGCCCATGCTAAAGCCTCCTGGACAGGCGGAATGCCAGGATATGTGCTAGACGATCTAGACGTTAAATTGACAGACCATAATTACTTTGCTTTGTAGGCGCAACCATGCATGTGCAACGTGCAGTAGCGGCATGCGCATGTGCGACATTCCGACCTTGACTTCCAGGTGTCGTGGCAAGTCATGAGAGAAGGAAGCCAAGTACTGGATGATGAAGTCAAAGTTCACGTCGTTTTGCACCTACACAATGTAGCAGTGGCCAGATCGGACTGTCGCACTTGTGTCGAAGAATGCATGCTGAGCTCGACAAGACTGCTGCGACTGCGTTGGCTGGAAAGAAAGGGATTGCACAGGCCTCTCGGGCTCCCACATGGTCCTTGTCAAGAATGATGAACTCCCATTTGGGGACCTAGGGTCAGGTGCGGGATTTCTCCAATGAAGCTTCCAACCATCAGATTTCCTAAAAGATATCCAGGTGAGGGGTGCAAGACAAATGCTTAAAAGCAATCAAACTGACCTTTTTTTTTTGATCTAAGAACAGGCTAAGGCACGACTTTCGTATCTTTCGGAGTCAGCCCTGCTCTTTGCCTCAAAAGTTTGCGGCGTTTCTCAAGGAAAGCGTTGTCCTCCAAAATGTCCACGAGGAATGCCTCAACATGTTGCAGGTGCTGCTGTTGCTAATTGTTTGTTATATATATGAGTCTTTTAACCAACATCCCTAGCATGGTAGCGCTGGCATCCAGGCCTCAAAGGGCAGCTTAAATAATAAAAATCGTGAAATAGGCGCACCTTCAGGTGCTCAACGCGAGCTGCGGATTCCATTTTGGAAGATGCCATCGCGAATCGATCAGGCTGAGATAGATCAAGCAAAAGGCAGTTGTCAAATGGCCAAACACTTCTCTAGAGCTATTGTTTGCAAAATAGTTGCCATGCATGAACCTGCATTCATGCAACATGCTCCAGGAATGCTTCGGCCTGATTCAAAAATTCGCAGGTAAGTCATTCGAAGGTTGAGAAACTAAATCAAACACGGGAATGCGCAAAGTCCACTAGCAAAGCTGCAGCGGGTTTGCGCACCTATCTCACACGTGTTGATCTCCAACATAGAATGGGTGGTCCTTTCCCATGCACCTAGGCCACCAGATAATTTTGGCACTGCCTGTAGAGTGATCTCTTAGAAAGCACCAAGTCCTGCACGTTTTTGGAGAGCCTTCTTCATCTCCACAACTCGATCATCATCCACATGGGGCAGCGATCAGGCGAGCTAAATTTCTCATATCAGGTCCTATATGTCGTCAAATTGTATAGGCCTATCACTCAGATTCGTATACTCTACCACTCAAATTTGTATATACTTGATGACCGGGAATTCACCCCGCCATGATCAAATGATATAATATCGTGATCTCATAATCATCATGAGATTCCAACAAAAACACCAACTTGCTCGCATCTGATCCAACGGCGGTCAAACATAAGCTTCCATCTCCTTGGCAACCCCTGGGCATTGGCTAAAATGTCCTTTGGTTGGGAAACAATGGTCGCTTTCCTAAGACTATTGTTTAAATGGTCCTCGACGCCCAGGGTATATTCATATAAGTATTTAATACAATATATATATATAAATCAATTATATACAGTACTATAAACCAAGCTTGATCAAGATTGAGTATAAGTTAGGCGGCCCCTATGCAGCATGGACCAGTTATATATATATATATTTACAGCATATAGTTATGTAGGATATACGTATATAGCGTAGTGTATTTGTTGTTTTGTTAGTCTATATATGTTATGCATGTGCACATGTAAAACCCCTTCAGACCACACAATGGTCGCTCATGATGCAGGACATCCTCCATTTCCAGTCTCCCACCCTGCTGGTTCTCGGGTCATGTCATATCCTCACTCAGGATGAACCCAAAAAGGACCGTGACGACATCGATAGAGGCTCTTTCTTGAATAACGCATGCAGTGGAGTTTTGGGGCGTTGGTTTTCGTACGCTTTCGTACGTTCTCGCCCGAGGTCGCCCATCACAGGGTTGTTGACACCAGCAATGGTCCCGCAGCCATGTGGGGCACTCATCCGGGTAGGTCCTCGGGCGGGGGGGTGGTGACCCGGCGATAAGCACAGTCCTTGGTGTTTTGTTTTTGGCCCAGTCCTGAAATAAGTTATATATTTTTGTCATCAGAGTTGCCAATCATCGAAGAGGCCTATGCGTATAGCTGTTGGTTTCCATCAGCGTGGAGTTTGACCCACTTTTGCCAGGAAACTTGCACGATGCCTCTTTCCCAGACAGCCAACAATCTGAGCCAGCCGGGACCAGATTTGGCCACGCCCATACCATCTACCCATCCAACTAATCCAAATACAGCCCACGAACAGGTTTCATCTTTGAGACGCTGTGAGGGTGCCTGTCTATGCCACAAATGCCAAACAAAACAACACGTGTCACATGCCTAAATGTTGCAAAGGACCCTTTAGAGGTGCATTCCCAGAGCGTTGTTGGATCGCGTGTTTGGTGGATTTCGCGCCATGTCTGACGTCTCATGTCCTTTGAAATTTGTGCAAAACCTGGTGAGCGATGTTTCTGGGCAAAGAAGCCGGGGACGAAGAAAGCGGTGACGCATCTCCAACCCAAGCGATTCCTGGACAAATCATGTGAAACCCACTGCTCCAACGGACGCAGGCCCACTGCTCCAACGTATGGGCACCGTCCTCAGGCCGAGATCAAAGTCCTCCCAGCCTGAGTCTCGGATCTCAGTCGATAGGATGTCATGTTCTGAGGTGTTCCATGGAAGCCGGTTCGCCAACTTTCGCCAACCAGTGGGCACGTGTTAAAACCCCCTACAGAAATATAGGCTCCATAGGCTTAAAGTTTCCTCAGCTTATGTTGTAGCTATTGGCACGATATAAATACGATCCGAGCCTGAGCCAAAGCAATGGCCCTCCGAGGTGTTCAGCAGTTTTCGACGCTGAAGACATGCATGGGGAAAGAGCGTTTTTGTCGGACCATGTCACTTGCTGGACCCGCTTGGCCAATGAATTGCTTGGAAGAAAGCAACACCATGAGCCACTGTGTTACGCCAAGTGCAAGACAAACCGATGCTTTTGACTGAACCGGCGATTGCCGCTCCCTCCAGGTCCCAGCGGACAGAGCGAGGTGCCAACGTGAAGTCCTCGGCGCTTGGCATGTATGTTATGTTTGAGGTGTCACGCCCCGTAGGCTTTTGGTTGTTCTTGAGCACTTCATGCAAATGTTGTGTGGTATTTGCACTGTTGCCAATGTTTTTAAGACCTCGTGCACCTTAAGACATATTCAAAAACCGTTGAACACTTATCGAGTTGGTTTTAACTGCCAAAGATCTTGGGCCAATAACTCAAGTTTATCCTTCGGCCGCTGCCCGGACCGACGCCTTGAGGCAACCCTTTGGTCACTGTCCGGGGACCTTCGGCCTGCGCCTGCCAGCACCTCCAGGTGACAGCCGTCGTACGCGGACGTCAGACGGAGTCCTGGAATGGAGTTTCACGCGAACGAATCACGGGCTGCAGATGAGATCCCCTACAGAGCTCCTGGACAGGTAAGCGTCAGAGCTCCTGTGTGTGGGCGACTTGCCTCCACGTGTGGCACTCGCCTTGATGAACTAGCCATCGCTGAGCATGTAAGGATTGGTTCAGCGCCAAGCACGTTTTGAAGCAACCACGTTCAGCACGTTGCTTCGTTTGCAGGTACCCTGGGCCGAGAGTGTTTTGCCTGAAGGCCACGCAAACAGGACTGGAACTGGCCTGTTGCTTTCAGAGTTGAATTCTGTTCAAGAGTGTAAGCTGGACACAGGTTTGGCTGTTGGACTCTGAAGCAGCTGTTTGGAAAGTCAGAAGTGCCAGTCTTTTTTGATGTCTTTGGGGCAAGGTTATGCGAGATGATGAGGCTTCTAAAACCCATAATATATAGCATCTATAGCTTTGCAGGACCAACATGTCAGGGTGTCAATAGTGCTGAAGCTTCATCATCCCACTTGATGGTGCAAGAGAGAGGTCTGACTGAGATTCAGTCCAGATGTTGGGAGGGCAAAGCTTCCTCCAGATGTGATGGTTGGTCTGAACAAGCGACGTGAACTATGATCAATTATGATGATTACTTTACCCTACCCTCTTAACCCCTCTTACATTTGAAAGCACTTTTCTCCGTGAGCAGACTGGTTTCTTCAGAAGGCAGAAGATGCGCATGGTTCAGATTGACCTTCATGTACTCCTCATGCTGCTGGGCCTGATGTACGGGACTTACTGTAAGTAGCTGTATGAAGAAGAGGTTGTCATGTTGTCATCTGTTTCATCCAAGTGATATGGCTTTTCGCCCCGGGCACTCTTGTGCCCAATCACCCTGAAATATTCTGAAATCATCATGAAAAGGGGTCCCTGGAATCCAAGCCTGCGGAGCAAGCCAATACTTCACGAATTATTTTAATGTGGTTCGTTGTTCTTTGTGAATCCGATGAGCTTGAAGACTGGTGCTTTCTGCGAACACGCAAACAGATCTCCAAGCAAAGGCACTCGTGCTTCTGGACATCAGGCCCCAAATCCATCCGCCAATGTCCAGGTGGCGCCAAAGTCCTCGCGTCGAACCCGCCGAACCGAGCCAAACTCGCCGAACCTCCTGCGGAGCGGAGAACACGAGCAAACAAGTTCGCCAAGTTGGGGGTTCATCGGCGGAGGCTTTTATTCAGCTTGAACATCAGGGGCGGTTTGGTGGTTGCATGTGGTTGCTTGAAAAGATGAGGGATGTGAGATTCGGGCGGCACGGATCCTGCTTTGAGATGTTGCGGCACCACTTGGATGGCCAGATCCCATCTACAAGATGGCGTTCATTGTTCGATCACTAGACTAGAGATCATTCATGATCATTAGTGAAGATGATGAAGTGCCCACGGCCGGCTTGGGCAGCCAGACTTCCAGACATCTCACTTGACACTGCCGTGGCTCCCAGAACTGGTGCGATGCATAGGAGAGATGGGTCCCCAAGTAGTGCAAGCCTTGGGTTGGTCACAAGTGACCTGATACAAGTGAGAGAGAATGTTCACATGTCTAGAGGTGCCAGTGCGAACAGTGGGAGGGGTTTCTGCAACTCATTCAATCAAAGGCACCGCCTTGCACAAAATTTTTCGCGGCGTCATGGTTACTGCTTGGCCCTCAGATTGTCAGCAAACTTGTGTACAACACGCGCATGGCTGAGTACCTCACGGTGCTGTCTTTGGCGACAACCGAGAGAGGCATGGGGATGCTGAGAATGTTGACCTTCAATTTTTGGTCCTGCTTTTGAGAGGCAGCTTTCTGAGATTTTAGCCGGGGCGCAGCAGTTTCTATCGATGTTTGGTAGAGAAAAGCAGATCCCTTCTTGTATTGCCAGTCGAGCAGGTTGATGCTCACCACCCCGTCGAGCCGCTCAGGTGCTCCCTGTTCCCTGCGAGATCCTCCAGGATGCCGCGCATGCCCAGGCCCGGCAGCCGTTGCACAGGCGGTTTCACTGGCGTGACGGAGAGTGAATCAGTGGAAGGCACGAAACCGGTGGACACACCGGTTTTTTCGTTTGGTGGAACCTGGCTCAAGGTCAAGTGGAACCAGCGGTTCCCTACAATTTCCCTACTAAAAGATGGCTTCAAGAGTCTACTGATCCAAGAATTGCTGGTTTTGATGGTCAACTGTGTCTATTGATGGCTTAAGGAGCCTTTGGATTCTCAACTGCCCAAGCAGGAGCAGAATAGTCATACCAGGGGAGATAGGTGTTCACTCCTTTTCGTTGGGGCAAATGGATAAGTCTTTTTTGCATTATTCTTGGCCAATTGGTGGTAAACTTGACCTCATCAGTGAACAGAAAGGGGTCAAAAGCAACAAGAACCCTTCTGACCAGCAACCTGTGGGCCACAAGTTTTCCAGTTGCACACGCAGAGAGGTACCAAACATCTCAACACTTCCTAAAGGGCCTGGTACGAAATCCCAAATCCATTCTGAGTAGAACAAATAGGTTCAAATAGCGCAAATAGATATCTTTGAGACTACTGTAAGTGTTTGCCTTACAGGAAGCTTTTTGACTCGCTTGGTCTTGCCAGGTCGTCGCTTGGGATGAGCGCTTTCATGTGTCAGCCGCCGGGGACCCCGCGGGACTTGAGGATGTGCCGCGGTCGGGGTGGCATTTGAACCAGTGTAGATGGACTCCCTGAAATGATCATGGATGGCCTGTTGGACGACCATTTTCATCCATTTTGTATGATTCTTTTGGGGAGTGTGCCAGCATGAGTAAGTTGATAATGATAACCTCCCTGCCTCCCTCCTCCATGAACCACCTTTTTGGAACTCTTAAATTATACTAATACGACATATGTTTGTATACACCTGGATTTGGGGTTGCTTGAGATTGTCATGCAGGCAATGCGGCAGAGAATTCTGCTTTGACCAACTGTGGCGTTTCCAGTCAGCACTTCGGACTTGCGCAAAAGGGCGGAGAGAGAGGTGCCTTTCCGGTGCCATTCAGATGTTTGTGACAGGAATCCACATCATTCCAACATCTTCAGATCTCCGGCCCTGGTGGCCCTGGCGGCCTGGCGGTCGGAGATGGCCCGGTTTGGCCTCACACTCTCAGGAGGCCGATGCCGTGGTGAATGCCCAGGTCCGAGAGAACGGCCAAGCTGGACCGGGAGATAGGAGGGCGGAGCTTGGGCCCTTTTCGGGGTCTTGGCACATGTGCATTTGGAAGGCTGAACGGTGAACAGCATGTCTCGGAGAGTCATGGAACGGGAAGAATAACACCCAGAGAGAGAGAGAACGCCTGTCCTTTCGTTCCAACACTAGCTTGGGTTTGAATGAGGGAACGGCCTTTTTATTTCTTGGAGACCTGGAGATCGACCTTCCAAACTCGGATTTATATTATTTGATGAGTGATTTGAACTTATGTGATTTGTGTCACCCACCGATCCAACGAATGGTCTTGGTATGTCTTGCGTTCAAGCTGTCGCTCAACCTTCAACGGATTCGTTCCACTCGGCGGCCTTTGCTCCGGGCGCACCCGCCCAACACTCGTGGCACTCGGTGGACGCCAAGGCACAGAGCTCTGCCTTTGGAGCAAGGGACGCCACGGGTGTGGAGGACCCTCACGATCGACAGCGATCGGAGTCGGGGAGGATCAACGATCCACGGAGAACGCGGAGGGAGACGGTGGAAATACGGAGCCCACAGGTGGCCGGCTCCGCTGGGTGGATTGCTTCGAAGATTGATCCCCTTGCAGTTGTTGTGAAAGGTCTGTAGTCACTGTAGTCATTGGCTTTGTGGGTCAATGGAAAGGATATCAAAAACATACTCCAGGGTCCAGGATTCGGTTCATTTTGATTCCATGAAGAGCACGAGAGCGGCGATGGCACCCCCAAAGGATCTCTTTTTTTGGCACATAAGGCAAGCAAGAGCACTTGTGAGCTTGCTTGATTTGCTTGCCAGGCTTGCCCTGAGGTGTTGCCGTTGTTATCCCAGACACTCAATAGATAGATAGGCCAGTAGCTGTTGGTTTAGTTACTGGTTGCTTTTGATCCAGGGTTTTTGTTGTAGTTATACCCCTGAAGCCCACCTCGGAGATCTTCTCACTTGGAACTCCTGGGATGGTATGTTTTTGCGTGTTCAGCTTTCCTTTCGTTGGTTTTAGGCTTTTCTAGGGCTTTTGGCACCTTCCATTGATGTATATACCTTTGGCTAAAAGCTTGCCAGCTCCACTTGCCTGGGCAATGTTCATGTCAAGTGGAGCCCCTGTCCGCTGAGATTTGGCCCCTCCCCACGTGGCCCCGCGCTTTCCACACCTCAGAGGCAGTCAAGGATGTGATGCCCACGGAGATGAGTAGCTTTGAGGAACTCTTGCACCAGGCGACCGGCACGGCAGCACCACACAGTGTTGACACTGCTTGAAAAAGGCCATACTGGGAAAATAGATTGCTACATAGCTTGTGAAATCTTGCGGTACACAGCTGCAGGGATGCTAGGCGTCCTAATATATGTTTGTTTGATGTTGTACTGGTTTTTAGACACCCCACAAGGGTCCAAGTTCCACTCATGGAGTAGCACCTTTCAAGGTGGTGACCATGTCGTCCGGTCCGACCGCTCGTGTGACGTGAAGATTCGCAGGCCGTTGGGTCCGCACGATGGTTGCGTCGAAGAATCGTCAGGTTTTAAGCCATCATTGGTGTGGGGGTGGTTTTAAGCACCCAGGAGTCATTGGTGCCTTCGGATTCTATCAGATTCATTCATAGGACGACTGTAGCCCGCAGGCAAGGGCAGCCAGCCAATAGGCCTACTACGAGGCCTACTATGTCGAAGATGGCCATAGCACGCCATAGCGGGATCCAAGTGTGTCTCGTGCCGACCTGAGCTTTCTAGGTCTCCCTCTTTTCTTTGTTCTTTCCTTTCTTTGGGGGTATCGCTGGATGCTTGGGACATAGCTGGGAGCACCTGATGCTTTCTTTTTTCTTCTTTATTCCGTGTTCTTCTTTTTCTCGCGTTTTCCCGGGTGTCCCGCGCCATAGCTGGGAGCTCCATCCTCTTTCTCTCTCTCTCTCTCTTGATGTTTCGCTGGATGCTTGTGTCATAGCTGGGGGCATCATGTTTTCTTTATTTTCTTTTTCGTTCCTTTTTCTTTAATTTCTTCTCCCTCCTTTCCTTGTTCTGTTCTTTCCTCGCCTCCTTCTTACTTTGAGCGCAGCGTACTGGTTTGGTCCCCTTTCCACCT